GAGTCTATGAGTCTATGAGACTGGTTCGCAAGTCAATGTTATTCAAATTTTTATCAGTGATCTAGAAGAAAATATAAAATTGCTATTGATAAAATTTGAAGACAACACAAAGATTGATAATTGGTAAATAATGATGAGGACAGGTCATTTATATAGACTGTTTGGTATACTGGATGCATTCAAATAACACACATTTTAATATAGCCAAATTCAAGAATAAAGAATGCCAGACAAATTTACAGGGTTGGATACTGTATCCTGGGAAGCAGTTCTTCTGAAAAGGACTTAGCAGCCATAGTAGATAACCAATTGAACATGAGTTCCCAGTGCAATGAGTGGGCAAAGGGGTAGTGTGATCCTTTGATGTATAAGCAGGGGAATAACGAGTATGAGTGGGGAGGTGATATTATTTCTGTGTATGGCAGTGGAGAGACTGTGACCAGTTCTGGTGCTCACACTTCAAATGTAGGACAACTGGTGAGGATTAAAAAAGAGCCACATGAATGATCCAAGGACTGGAAAACATGTTTTTTAATAGTTAGAGACTTAAGGATCTTAGGCAAAATTCTGAAAAACAGGAACCTAAAGTTGGGCTGCTAAGTCCATATTTAGAGAAAACATGATGCAGCACTTCCAGCTCCTTATGTGAAAGGAGGAAACACCATCACTATCCACTTAGACTCCTTGGGAGTTGATGGGTGGACACAGCAGGAACCACCACTACCCAGACTAGCTTTCAATGTCTCTCTTCTCTCCTTTTCTTCCAGTCCGAAGCTTTGTCCTGCTGACTAAAGCTTTGACAGAGAAAGGAATGAGAGATCCCTTTGGCATTAGACTGGCCTTTGATTGGGAGTACAGGGCACTAGACAAAGCCATGCATAGGGATTTTTTGGAACGAGAGATTATACTAGCATAAAAACTAATATTCTTACCTGCTGCAAACTGAGAATCAGTGTCTTCGCACATTGGATTTTATCAATTTGCCTTGTTTTACTCAATGTTTCCTTAATGATATCGCCATAGTCATTGTAGTACTGTGAGAAAAGGGGGAAAATAAACTTTTAAAGGCAGAATTTATTATTTAGTATAACTTTCATGCTTTTCATAATAAAAATGGTTTACTTGTAATTCCTGTTTTGAGAAGGCAGTAGTTTCAATAAAGCCCTGCTCTTGAATCCATGTGACAGATATGCAATGACCCGATATGTAAATTCAGACTCATCAGTGGCTGGGACCCACCTACCCAGTGATGAGGTCAGCAATTGCTTTAACTGTCAGTTCTTTTTTTAAAAATGGAATGAAAAATATAAATCAAAAATACTGCCTACTCTGCTTGGAAGGTAGTTTGAAGGTGATTGTCAAATTCAAAGAAAAAGTACTACAGGTAAGTCAGTGTTCTTTACTTAAAAATTAGGTTTTAAGAGATCTCATTCTTAGAAATAAAATAGGACTATATTAGGCAGCCCAAAATTGATTACACATGTATCCAAAGAATGAAGTATCAACAGAAATAACAGAAATGATTTTATATTTTAAATAAGGAGCTAACGGATGGCATGATACCTCTATTATAAACAAACCTCAATAAACCCTTGTAGATGGGGTGGTTGGGCTACTTTTCTCCCATTATTACTGTTATTATTTATCATTTATTTATATTGGACATACTGAGTGCTTTCTAAACACGCCGAAAAATGGTTCTCGCTCTAAGGAGCTCATAATCTATAAAGAGGCAAGTAGAATAGGGTAACAGGAACAGGAACAAAAATAGACAAATCATATACAATTAATATAAAAGTCACCTTGATTCACAGTAGCAGAGCAGAACTGGATCTTTAAGAGGGATTTAAATATGGGCAGGCTAGGGGCCATGCAAATGAGCTCTGGAAGGTCATACCAGGCACAGGGGACAGACTAATAGAAGAAACAGAGGTGATTGTGAGATGCTGACCAACAGGTGCACAAGCCTGGGAACGCTGTTGGAGAGGAATGGACAGGGATCGATGTAATGGTTGACAAAGGAGGATATGCAAGGAGGGAAAGTGTCATCTAGAGTTTTAAGGTGGTGAAAGAAGTTTACATTTGAGGCAACAGTAGAAGGGGAACCAAGGCTGTGGGAGGAACTTCCAGGTTAAGTAGGACACCTTATCAGATGGTGACTCTGACTAATACCTCTGAGGGCACATAGTGCAGGTAGGGTATCGCAAAGTATTTGTGAAGACAGGCCAAGCAAGTCACCAGCAGCCACTGAACACCAGTGCAAAGGAGCATCAAAGTATGGGTCTGGGCCATACAATACAAATGCGAGCTTGTGACAGGGCTGGCTTTACCAGTGATATCACATAGTGGTCGGGTCCCTGGGTCACAACTGTCCCCCGTCTTTAGCTTCTGCTGTGGTGGGTGCTCTGACATAGTGTTGGTTTCCCTTCTGGTAGATAGTAACTCAGTCCTCTGGCCAGGTGACACTTGATGTCCATGCCTTTCTGGGGTAACAAAATCTAACATCCCCCAAAAAGGAGTTTCTGGACCAACTCTGGGCCCCTGAAGACCTCACACACTAACTGCAGGGCTTATGGTGTCTTTATTCATCTTATCTCAAGGGGATTTATACCATCTTCACTAGTCTCCCAAACAATCCAACACAGGATAGAGAGAAATATTTCTTAATCCTTAAGGACAAGCTATTCCCTCTTCTGGTGCCTAAGGTAGCTACTGCCACTTGTGGACCCCCTTTTCCTGCAGCTAGGACTCCTCTTGTACCCTCACCCAGGAGCTCTCAGGATAAGGCTATCCTTCCCTGTTATCCTCCCCCTTTCTTTGCTGTCTGGCTCTCTTTTAAACTCCTCCTCCAGCTGGAGCAGGCTTTGCAGGTGTGGTGGGGCGGGGCCACTTGAGCCCCAAAACTGTTTCTTAACTCCTCTTCTATCCCAGTGTAAGGTTTATATACCCCATCACAGGGCCATTATTGGCTAACTTGTTTACCTACACTACCACAGTGACCAACTATGTAGGCTGTGGCACTGGAAATATTTCATGTAAAGTGTTAAATAATATTGGGTCATCTCTGTGCCTACTATCCAACTTCATCCCAGGCAAAAGGAGGAAGTAACTGGGTCTGGTCTGTGGAAAACTGAAGCATGAATGGGGCAGGTGATTCTTGTAGTTGGTGGAGCCTTGTTGAAAGTTATAGTTGGGAAATTGGAGATGCCCCATCATATGTTGGTGTGAAAGTAACAGGTAAAATGGAAGTAAGACTAGCCAGTATGCAACTATAAAAGAACACAGGGTGAAAACCGGGCTGGAAGTTAAAAGTTCTTCCTAGATCTTGTCAGCAAGAGCTGAGGACTGACAATTCACCATTCTACCAAGAGGCAAAACTCCCTCCCCCCGGCCACACACACACACAGAAAGGCATCTCTGTACCTTGCACACCCACCAGTTCATGTAGAGTCCAAGGATGGAATCCAAGAGGAAGAAAGCCATGCATCTAGTACTTGAGACCAGTATGTGGGAGAACCACCAAACTGAGCCACACATAAGGGAGCAGCCCATCCTACATCTGCACTCTGGTTTTGTACTGGGGACCACAACTAAATGGAGTATTACCCCAAACCTCAATTATAAAAGCCTCACTGGAATAACATGTAAGGTTTTACAGCTTAATGTCCACCTAAGAATATTTTAAGACACTTCAGGCGAAATCCCCCACTGCAGTCAATAGCAAAACTCCTACTGACATCAATGTGGTCAAAATTTCACCTGCACATTCTAAAATTTTAACCTAAAAACCCCATTTGCAGGAGAAAAGAGACATTTTTATGCTTTAACTCTTATACTATAAAATGTAACTTCCAGAGTAATCGCTGAATAATACATTACTCAAGTAATATATTAAAAATTAAGTTAAGAAACTTTTGCCTAAATTTCTTTTTCTTTCTGTAAATGACAAATGAGTGCCTGTAACTGAATGAAAGGTGAAATCCCCCATAATCTGCTTCTGGATTGATTTTGTAGTGTGATGTACGAACTATGTAATTGTACTCCATTGTGAGCTATCTTTTTGGTTATTTGCTCTTAATGAGTAATAATTAACATAGAATTTAGTTTATTACGTGGATGGAGTCCTGAACCCTCTTTCTTGAACTATACTGGATGATGGTTAAGTCAGGCTTTTTCTGTAGAAATGTCAGTCTTCTGATAAAACTTTTCCAAATTATTTATTAAGACTTGGTTCAGTTTGGGTTCCAAGTGACTAATAACCCGTATAGTCCTGTATGTGGCATTTCTCTGGTGGTTTCTTATAGCTACTCGACCTGCAGATAGATTATCTAGTTGTGATAACAGAAAGTCAGATGTTCCATGTTGGTTTGATCTAATTATGGTCTGATACGGGAAGGAAGGTGGATTTCCAGTCAAGAGCAGAGAGCCTAGGATTGTGACAGGTGTATTAGAGATTTGGCAAGAGCCCAATTAACACAAAGTCAAAAGGTGACTTACTGGCAATTAGTGTTAGATTAGAATATTTTGTCCACAGAATATTCTATGTTCTATATATTCTATTACATAGTTCAGACAAGCATGAGATCAATACAGGTCATGCCTGGCCTATGAAACAATCACCACGCCACATGTCCACAGAGCAGGAGAATGGATGATCCGGTAGTTGGAAACTGCAGGCATTACTGAACCATCTAGAAGTCACTAGGTATCCCTCATGTTGACCTCATACCCAGCTAGGTTTGCACTTGGTGTGGCTCAGTCATGCCTCCACTGCCACTACCAGCGCTACCATGGCTACACTGTTATTTATACTCATGCCAGCTTGATGAGAGCTAGTACGAGTATGTGTACATGAGCAGGAGAATCACTTCCCTAGCTTGTATTGTAGCATCTTTTAAAGAACTATTTATATGAACAATCTCCTTTAGGTCACACTTGCCAAAAACTGTGTCCAAGGAGGCAAACAAACCATATCTGTAAAGCTTTGAGAAGATATGCAGAGCACCATGTGGGCACTGTGCAAATCTCCATAGATAATGAATTTTATCATTTGGCTAGAGTGTCAGACAGGTGTGACCCTAACAGCATCCCAATGCAAGAGGGCAGAGGGCTCACTGGTAAGTGGTAGTGAGTTTCAACGGGACTGACCAGTTCAGTGCACCCACTCACTAATGTCATAACCTGTATCTAAAAAAGTGTCATGTAAGATATCAATAGAAAGTGACAACATACTGATCATTAATGTTATTGCCTGGTGTATGAATGGAAGAGAAATTCAAAATTACAAACATATTGGGAATTATGTTCTTAAAGTGTGTTCGACAGGCTGTGGTGAAGTTGCCTCATCATAGATAAAGGAATGTAGTTCTGCCACCTGGAAGATATTTCCAGGGTACATTAAGAAACAGTGGGAATGCAATTTGTATAAAAGGTAAACAGACCCATCAAGGCAACAGGAGGAGGAGAAAACCACTCGGCATCATGTCAGGGGGGAGGAGATTGCAGGAAACAGATCAATTTGCATTTTAGCAAACAACAGCCGGGGAAGAAATGTGCATGAAACTTCCTTCATCAGGAAACTCCATGTCATCTTCCTCACAGCTTGAATTAACTTTACTTTGGGGTAGGGGTGGGGCAGTAACCTTCAGAAGAATCCATTTCAAATGTTCACTGTACTATAAAAGAGAGGCACAAAGTTATCTTTCACCTACAAAGACAAAGGAATCAAGCACTTTGAAGATCCTGACCAGAAGGGTTGACAGCCATCTTGCTGGAAGGCAGATTGGTAAGGAAACTATCTTGAACAGAGGGTTTGGCTTGTTGTATTTAGTCTTAGCCGTCAGAAAGCATTTTTCACTTTTATTTGCTTTCAACCATTTCTAACTATATCCTTTTAGACTTGAACTCAATGAAAATCCTCATCTTCTTTTATTAATAAACTTGTTTTATATTTAATCTAAACCAAGCCACTGCTGATAAATTTTCTTAGGGCCCAGAGACCATAAGAAAAGCTGTTGAAATTTTCACTGTCTCA